CCCCAAAACCCCAAAACCCCAAAACCCCAAAACCCCAATTCCAATTGGATAGGTTGAAACAGCACTTATAAATATGGAGTTAGATTAATTCAAAGGATAAGCGTCATTAGTAGGATCGAATTGGGCTTTTTCCAAGAAATCGTGCTGATATCCTTGGAAAGTCTCTGGGGCCTCCTTCCTAGACGCTTGAGAGGAATTCTGGGAATATTCCTGAGTGCTCTGGGTCTTATATCCATCCTCTTCTTTTCCGACCTTGTCAATCGCTTGAGACTGATCAGAGGGCTTCTCTGTACACCTCAAGGGAACACACTGACTTTGAGATACAGAGGATGGCTTAGCTGAGCTAGAAAGTTCTTCGGTATTTAAAACCTGCTTTTGGGTGAACCCTTTAGTTGGTGCTATAATATGGTAAGAATTATATTTAAGATAAAAATTGGAGAAGTTTAGTAGGAATAATTTAGAGCTGTGTATTAGAACGTCTGCTGGACTGAAATTTAGAAATTTTTAATTGATTTGATTCAAGATTATCCCGAAGAATATGCGGGATATTAAATTATGTTGTAAAGTGAGGGCCATAAAGGAGCAAAATAAATGATGCATGTTGAAAATATTATTATGCCATTAAAGATAATCAAATAAACACAATTTGTTCTTAAGGTGAACATTTTATACTTAATTTTTACTTACATAAGCTAAAGTTAAAGGCCATACGAGTGTCTTTTTGAGATCTATCATCAACCTCTTCTGACCTTTTACGAGTATCTACTTCTTCGAGATGTCCAAACCTTTTGTATTCTTCAGCAAGAACCTCTTTCTCACCAGATGGGTTAGTACTTGTGGAAGATCGGAGAGAAAGGTCATCACACCCTGTGAATTCAAATTCTCAATAATCTTTTGCTGCAAAGTCTCTGATCTTATTGATAAATTCGGTCATGATTCCTGGATCCTGGATATTCAGCAAAATTGCATTCATTGTAGTGAAGTTTAGTGAACTGTATGGAGCTTGAAAAGAAGGATCATCATTGAGACCTAAAATCTCAGCTAAGTCAATGAGATCTGAATTATCCTTTTTAGTAAGAAATGGATGAGAAATCAACTCTTTCTGGCTAATCCTATCATCAGGGTAATACTGTAATCACTTGCCTAGCAAATGAAGGTACGAAATTGATGCTTTGAGATTTTTAGGAATACCATACTCTCCTATATTGACTTTATCTTGGAGTTCTATAGGGGTTTTTCCCATAAATGGAGCATAACCTACTAATAACTCATAAATCATGATCCCTAAAGACCAGATATCTACCTTCGAGTTATATGACTCCCCATTCATGATTTCTGGAGCCATATTTACAGGAGTGCCTCAATATGAAGAGGTAAGCTCATCTTCCCCAATAGATCTTGCAAAACCAAGATCTCCAATAATTACTTCTAACTCCTCATTGGTATAATCAAACTCTTCAATGTATTCGTCTGGTACGCTCCCGCTGCCGGTATATTTTGGGAAATTTAGCATGATATTGTCCAGCTTAAGGTCTCGATGCATTGCGCCATTATCATTAAGATGATTTAACCCTGCAGCTATTTGTTGTGTAATTTGCTGTACTAGTTCCTCTTCTAATTTTCCGTCCTGGAGTTCCACGAATCTCCTGAGAGATCCCCCGTTGCAAAACTCCATGAAAATGTAAATATTATTGCTAGACTTCTTGGCTTCGAGGAACCTAACAATATTGGCGTGCTGGATCTTCATTAAAATCTCTATTTCCTTTGTTAGATACTTCTTATGAAGCTTGCTAATATTCTTAAATTTAACAACTTTGCATGCAACTTTTCTTCCAGGTCTCATTCTGGCTTTGGTAGCAGAAGGTATTTTGGCTTTCTTCTTCATTTGACATTGGTAGACATCTCCCATAGCTCCCTTGCCTAGCAGATCTGTCAACACATAATTATGAATTGCCTTCATGTTGTTATAATTATATTAAAATTAACTAGTAGCAATACCATGTTGCTATAATGGGGTTTTGGGGTTTTGGGGTTTTGGGGG